TACGCAAAGGTGCTCGTGCAAATTCTTGTGAACACTTCCTGAACCAATCTGCAGAGTATGCTGAAGCTCTTCGTACGTAATTCGTCTATTTTCTTGAATTAATTTTTTTACTGCCAGCACACTTTCTTCGGTGACAGCCATCGTAGGACGACCTCTCCTGTGTTCATACCCCAAAGTAAGATGACCGCGTTTGAAATCGCTATCGTAGATGGTTGCTTTTGAAGGTCCTTCATCCATAAAAGCAGTTTGAAATCGATCAAATGACTCATCAGGTTTTAAGCCACATTTAAAGTCGTAAATAATCATAGCACAAAAATGTTCTCGATGCAGGCCCATTTTTTAATGAGACAAGAAAAAATGTTAATGACTGTCGAAAAAAATGCAAAGGGAAATTTGAAAATCGAACAGTGGTATTTTACTTATAAATATTCGAAGTTTTCATAAAAATAACAAGTGGCCAGTGTCTTGTATAATATATAAAAACTTTTTTCGGAAAACTTTCCGAGTGGCCTGGTAGAGTAGGCCTCCAGGCGAAGATGGCGCGTCACGGCACCCCGTGGGCCCAAGACGCCGAGAGCCGCATCAACACCGCCATCCTGCCATCACGACTCATGCCATTTGCACTTGCATCACGGTCACTACGATATTATATACTGTATTGATCAAATATGAATCAAACAACAAGGTTTACGTAAAAAACAGGGTGTAAAAAAACCTATGACAAAGACTGAAACTATGCATTCTGTACATCCAAACAAGTAATATTACAAAATATTATAAGTGGGAAACATTTGTTTTTTTTAGTTAAAAAAAATTTTTTTTTCCAGTACGCAATGTATAGCGCTACGTAAAGAATGCGCCTGTGTGTATGTGTGTGCGTGTGTGTAAGTGCGTCGATAAAAAAGTTTCTAAATAAAGTATTTGTAAAAATCTTGAAAAAAAAAATGTCACTTTGACTTAAATATCTCCATAACCATAAATTTCCCAGGTATGGTCCAGAAGAAAAAATTTATCGTCATGATGTGGAAAATACGTGGCCTTCGACTTCGTTAAATGTTTTTTTACACCCTGTATACTGTATTAATCAAATATGAATCAAACAACGCTGTCTGACAAATGCACTTTAAAGTTTAATAATTTAAAAACGGATTTAATATTTCTTTATCATAATTTTTTGATAAAGAAATATTCAATCTTTATATCTGAGGAGCTTGATGGCGCAGGTGGTTTGCGCGTTCGGCTGCGATCGTTGAAATTAAGCAACTGTCGCAGTGGTCGGTCATTGGATGGGTGACCAAAAATCTTCTATCTCGAGTTCCTCCGTGCTTCGGAAGGCAAGTTAAGCCGTTGGTCCCGGCTGCACCTGCAGTCGTTAGCACCTGCCAATCCGCATTGGGCCCGCGTGGTGGGTCATGGCCCAGTCCCCCTATTCCATTCATAGGGAAGGCCTGTGCCCCAGCAGTGGATACATTAATAGGCTGATGATGATGATGATATTTTTTATAGTATTATTTATGCCAAATTACAGCTTTCTAATCTCCAAGTTGAATTGCAGAGAGACGGACTGACAGAAAGACGTAAGTATAAAGGTTTCCTTTAATTTAAAATGTGGTATGGTAATTTAATTTAAAAAAAATAATCACTGGTTATTTATTTACGCCATATTTTACCATTTTAATAAAAATATTTAAAAAAATAAGAAATAATCTGTACTTATAATATTATAAAGCGGAAGAGATTGTTTGATTGAACTCGCTAATCTCAATTACTACTTGGTCCGACTTGAAAAAATATTTCTGTGATGGATAGTTAGTAGTATAGCATTTGCCAAAGAAGGCTATAAGCTGTATAATATCAAGCTACCACTATCAGGAGCGGAGCAGCAATGAAAAATGTTGCATAAACGGAACAAAAATATTCCATTTGTGACCTTCCGTTGCGTGCGCTGCGAATACGGTAGAAGTTACACAAAAAAAATCAGTCATGTTCTGAATTGTTTCCCTTTAAAAGTTCTATAAAAAGTCCAGGGCAGCATAAAATATCGTCTATCCTTAGGTTGACCATATAACGTTATACTTCAAATAAATAAATATTTCCAAAACACACCAATTACCCTAACCCCAAAGTAAGCACTGTAAGGCTTGTGTTATGGGATGCTAGGGTAACGGATAGAATACATATACAGTACATATATAAGTATATTTATATAGAAATACATAATAAATATCCATGACTAGAGTACAAATGCTCATATTCATCACACAAACATCTGCCCCCACCGGGATTTGAACCCGGGGACCTCTCGATTCGGCGACACCATGAAACCCGGCGTACAAACCACTTAGCCGCGGAGGTCGTCAAATTAATGCAGGTGATACCGCATGGCACCTCTAGTGCAAGTAATTAGTAAATTCATCTAACATTTTTGACACACTGTTTTAAGTTGTTTGATTATTCGTACAAAAAAGCAAAATTTGTTTTAATCATCTTTTTATTCATAACAAAATAATTTGCTATTTACTTAACAACACCGGTTCAAGTGTATTCAATGGTACAGATGTTAGTTATCAAGTAATGTTACGAGTAATTGAAATCTTAACGTTGTCTGCATAAAATTCTAATTAGAGTTGATTTAAAAAAAAAATTGATAGTTTTTTGTTACTATTTTTAAGTGTCATATGAAAAAATCTCTTATCTATTAGACAAGTCCGTCCGTCCGTCTGTCTGTGGTGCTGTTTCAGCGGCCAAACCGTAAGAGATAGATAAAGAGAATATTGAAGTTATAAGTTAAGAATAGTCTGATAAGACTACAAACCGGATTTGAGTAACGTAGCACTTTCGGTTTTCGAGAAATCACGAATTTCAAACGAAACCACACAAAATCTCCGAAGTTCTCAATTAATTAAATACATTTTTTTTTTTAATCAGATTTTGGTGAACATTTGGTTCACTGGTTTGCCAGTTCTATTTAATTTGACAATTTATTAAATGTTTGATTTTATTCCAATTTTAATATTTTTTAAGTACAATTACTGATATGTGACAATTTTGGATTTTGTAGATATACCTCGTACGGTACCTAAGTTGTTTCACACCCATATAGGGTAAAATATGAACAGACATTATAATTATGTAACACCAAATTATGTACTCATATTTGACTAAATAAATTGATTGATTGATTGTTTCATACATTGTATATAATTACAGTGTAGTCGTGTTTATTATAATTCTCTATTAAAATCAAATTTTCATATATTACTTATTAAATTACTCATGACAGCTATCGATGAATCATATGGATTTGAAAAGATGTATATCCATTGCTAATGTGTTTATTGTGCTTGAGTATTGAGAATATTTTATAAATATATTAATCAAATATGTTAATAGTAATACACAATAAAGATTGTTAAGCAGCATTCGCGATCATGTTTGATCCGGCTATTTAAATACTTTATTATACGTTTTTTTTTTAAATTGAGTTATTTGCTACCAAGTTATACTTATATAGAAAAGCGAGAATAACCATCAATGTAACACTAAGATGTTTATAAATACATTTTTAAAATTTATATCATTCAATTATAGAAATTAGATTCAGAAAAAATATTATGCACTTATATTATTTCGTTAATTAATTATTGACTAGCAAACCAGTGAACCAAATGTTCACCAAAACCTGATTTCTCGAAAACCGGAAGTGCTACGTTACTCAAATCCGGTTTGTAGTCTTATCAGACTATTCTTAACTTATAACTTAAATATTCTCTTTATCTATCTCTTACGGTTTGGCCGCTGAAACAGCACCACAGACAGACTTGTCTAATAGATAAGAGATTCTGAAAAAATATGATAAGTAAAATTATTATCATCATCATCTCAGCCGTACGCCGACCACTGCTGAGCATAGGTCTCCCCCAAGGATCTCCACATCGATCAGTCCTGTGTCTCGCGCATCCATCGGGTTCCCGCGATCTTCACCAGATCGTCGGTCCGAGTGTCGTCCGGTTTTTTTTTCAAAGTGTTTATGCTGTTGGTCGCTGACGACCTTTACAGCGTCACCGGGTTTGGAGACGGCAAGATCCTAAGGGGACCTCAAGTCGAGAATTGGCGAGTGCCTCTAGAGGTATTCCAGGCGGATGGCGTCTCCCCGAGGGGGGAGTCTCCTCTCTGTCTGGAGCCTCTAGACCACTCGATCCTGAGGGGATCGGCTTAACTAGAGGGCGTGTCTGAGACTCGGACCTCGGCTTTAGTTAGCTGTTGTCCTGTCGTCCGGTGCGTGGTCGCCATTTGAAAACCTTTCCGCCCCAACGGCCATCGCTTCTCCTCGCTATGAGCCCTTCCACTGCCACTTTAGCTGAGCAATCCTTCGAGCGATGTTGGTGACTTTAATTCTCCTGCAGGTTTCCTCATTTCTGATTCTATCACGCAGGGAGATACCAAGTATCGCTCTCTCCATTGCCCGCTGTGCGACCTTGAGCCTTCTTGAGACTCGTAGTAAGAGATCAAGTTTCGCTTCCGTAAGTCATCACTGGCAACACACACTGGTTAAAGACTTTTTAGTAAGTTTTGAATGAAATTATAATTTGCTATAAATGCATTAAAGATGTGAAATGAGTAAAATTAAATTTGCAGTATTTGAAAATTACGGATAACTAGTGGGCTGGTGGCTGTGACTTCGTCTGCGTGAAAAAATTGGTATCCCATACAAACTTCCACCCACCGTGTCAGACCCTTTAAGGATGATTTCTGGGATAAAACCTATCCAATGTCCTTTCCTGGGACTCTACTATCTTTTTACTAAATTTCATATAAATCGGTTCAACAGTTTCAGCGTGATGTGGTAACAGACATAAAGATAGATAGACAGATGCACTTCCGCGTTTATAATATTATTTATGGATTAACTCAAGTTATCGACGGCGTTCAATCACGAGTATGTTGTCCATTGCGTACTTATTTCCTAGACCTTAGTGTCTAGGAATTAAGTACTGATTGTTTTACTTAACGTTCGATGCAAGTGGTAATAAATAGTCGCATAATTAATATTTACAAAATAATTTATTTAAACATGTTACATTTGTTTCTGTCCTTCTACATGCTTTCGCTCATTTAAATATGTATTTAATACATAATACATACATTTATCCTATTAAATTTACAAAATGTATAAATTAAATCCATCCCTTTATATTAACGACAATGTTTTATCACTTTTCTTCTTATCGCAAACATAAATCACATTGTAAGTTTTACATCTATGGCACTAGCGTTAGTAATGGTAGCCGGTTTCTTGGTCGAAACTTGGTGGCTTTCTTGGTCCACCGAACACCTCGCCTTTGCCAGAAAACTGACTGGAACCCTGTGAAACTGATCCAGGGAACTGAGATTCTGGTTGAGCAAACTGAGACCTGATCGGACCCTGGTTACTATTTTCTGGCCGTTGAGCTTCTTGATTCGAAATTTGGGCATTAAACGATTGACAGCAATTGTTTGGTCTTCCATTATTCTGACCAAATTGAGATTTCACAGGCGTTTGCGGTCTTTGGAACTGTTCCTGTCCATTAAGTCGAGATGGAACATTAAACTGGGGCTTGGAATCTTCGGCAGGTTGAATTTGAGCTTCAGCATTTACTGATGTGCTCTGAGCAAACTGAGGCCGCTGTGATCCAAATTGTGGTCTAGTTCCGAAGCTAGGACGATTAGGCTGCTGTGTATTTAATTCTTGCAAATTGCGATTTTCTTGAGCTTGACCAAATTGAGCTTGAGATCCGTAAGGCCGAGATGGAACATTGAACTGGGGTTTGGCATCTTCAGCAGGTTGTACTTGAGCATCAGCATTTACTGATGTGCTCTGAGCGAACTGAGGCCGCTGTGATCCGAATTGTGGCCTAGCGCCAAAGGTAGGACGAGTAGGCTGCTGGATATTCAGTTCTTGCATATTACGATTTTCTTGAGCTTGGCCAAATTGAGGCTGAGTTTGTCCTCGTTGCGGACTAGAAGTTGATTCCGGCTTGGACGGAGCAGGAAGCCTTTCAGATGGTTTGGTGTAATCATAGATTTCACCAGAGTATTGTTGAGTTGGGGTAGCTTGTGAATTATCTTGCTGGCTTTTATTCGATGTATCTTGAGGGCGCCGTTGACCGAATGATTGATTAGGGGAAGATGGTTGGAATTGGTTTTGCTGGTTATATTGCGACTGGAACGATGGTTTTGAGCCAAAGGTTGGAGCATTGAAATTAGTTGCAGTTGTTGGAGCAGCTCCAGAGAACGCAGAGGCAGACGTTTGGATCATACCATTGTTTTGGGCAGAGAATCCTAAAGGAGCGGTAGGTGCAATGGGTGCAAGCGTTGGAGGCCTAGGGTTTCTAGACGAAGCCTGTCCACTCTGTGGTCTGAAAGGACTTGCAGAGGCCTGAGTTATTCCATTGTTTTGAGATGAGGTGGTACTTCCTTGGAACTGTTGATTAAACGAGGTGGTGGGAGCAACAGATGCTAACGTAGGTGGTTCTGGGTACCGAGTACTTCCACGGTTTGTCTGTCCTCTTTGTGCTTGGAAAGAATTCGCGGGGAAATTTTCCTGATAGTTTCCTGGAAACTGAGGTTGAGATTGCTGGGCTACTCCATTAAACTGACCAAATGACGAACTTGGAAATCTAGAATTAGACGCTGGATTGTTAAAAGGTTTTGCAGGTTGCCTGTAATAATATGAGTTGTCTACTGCTTGCGCTTGCTGATTAAAAGATGGTCTGACAGTGCTTGGCGAGTACTGCGAATCGGTAGGCTGATTTTGGCTAACTTCATTCTGGAGAAGTTGTTGCTTATCGGATGCAGATGGAGAAGATGGGTATTGGTTTTGGCCACGAGCAGGGAAACCATTACTCGAAACTTGAGATTGAGTATTAGAACTAGGCCGCGCTGGTTGTCGGTTGTTGGTTAGTTGGTTTCCAAACTGTGTAGAAGGGCGAACATTAATATTTTGGGGATTAAACATATTTGCTGAAGATGGAATACGATCAGCGGGTACATTTGTAGGAGCATTAGATTGACTTGATTCCAGAGGCGTAGTCAGCTCAATACTTGGAACGGAAGTAGGACGCTGAGATTCTAATGATGTAGTAGCAGTTTCTTTATCTTCCGGTAACTTTTCTTTCTGAACTGGAAAACGGTTTTGAGATGAAAACTGGTTGCTTGAGCCTTGAGGTTTAGGTTGAAATTCTTGAGGTTTTTGTTGAAAAGTGTTGAATGATTGCGGTACTTGGACATTTTCGTTGGATCCCGAAGAAGTATCTGGTACAAAATCAATCGAGGGTTGGCCAGCTGCTTCGAAATTGCCAGATCCAGATATCTGATTCAAAGGTTTTTGAGGTTTAGAAACTGAAGGAAGAGATTGCTTCTGTGCCCCAATAGACTGAACTCGCATTGGTGGTAAGTATTCATTTCTAGAAGCAAATCGATTGCCTGCATTCATGTCAAATGTAGTTGTAGAGGATTGAGAATTTCCTTGTGATTCAAATCCGTTACCTCTTGACGGTTTTTCACTAGCTGAAAAGCTTTGTGTATTAAATGTGTTACGGTTCGGTGTTCCAAACGGCAGAGATGACTGAGATTCTTGAGGTGTCGAAAATCGGGAACCACTTTCCGATGCTTCATTTGATTGTTGATTATCATTAACTGCAGAAGCAACTGGTCGTTGAGTTCTTTCGTTCTGCTTCAAGCCTTGAATAGCTGGCCTGTACTCGTTTTTAGATCCAAACCCATTAGACTGCAAGCCATTGGTTTGCATAACTGAGCCAAAATCATTGGCAGTTTTAGAAGGACTGAAATTATTATTTGAAGAAAACTGAGTATCTGATGCTTCATCTTTTTGTCCCGATTGCCCGTTGGAGTTTGGCCGTACAAAAGCTTGATTGTTTTGATTAATAAAAGAACCACTAGCTGTTGCGTCAGATACAGGTCGTCTGCCAAAACTAGGCGCTTGATTCACGTTTTGTTCTTCACCAGCGATGTCACTTTCCGAGTAATCGGCTCCAGCATTGTATTTCTGTGCGTCGTATGTGCCTGTAAGTAAAAAATGAAAGTTGTTGGTCATTTGTCAACGCCTTAGCAAATGTATCAGTTGGCAATACATTAATCACATCTCACAATAGGTTTTAAAACTAATCCCTAACGGATTTTACCGGTGAGTCACTATTTTAAGAGAGTAATACCTGCGAAATATAAGGACATGTTTTAACTTTGTTTAAAATTGTATGATATTTTATCAATCAAACTTCTGGTTCTACAAACCATACAAATGGTTTTCATCGACTTTAATATTAAGATTTCTCGGATAAAATTAATCAGTAAATTATTTTTTAACTATTTTTATGTAATTAATAACATCCTTATTATATTGACATAATTAGCGTCATGGGGAAAGAAAGCAATGCAATAACCGACTGAATATATATCTTTAAGAACTAGCAGTAAAAGAAGTGAAAATTACAACAACAGAAAAAAAAATAAACAAAACCTCAACATGTTTATATTTTTATTTTTTAAGCATTTAAATGCTAGATATTAAAATCTCAAGAAAATTTTACAATAAAACAAGCAGACGGGTGACAGGGTAGCACGCGATAGCATAATGGTCAGTACATATATTCGCCCGGATAGCGGAGAGTGCGGGTTCTAGTAAAACTTTCTTTACACAACATGTTTTTCAAAACATTATAAACCCAATAAATAAAAAAGTGACCACAGTGCATTTCTCAAAAGCTCTGCGTCATTTTCGATATCTTCATTATTATCAGGCGTGACAATATGCACAAAGGGACCTGCTTGATCTCTCTGAACTTTTTTTGCTCTTCTCATTGTTAAGCTAAAATATTGTATCGAGATACTTTTAAAGCTCAATGGAGTGTCGACACGTTCAGTTACGAAGTGACACAATCGGTAGGTAATGGAACCGGAATAGGTTTTTTGTCCGACTGCCAAATAACAAGATGAGTATGGATGGTATTAGATAAGTATAATTAGGCGCTCATTAAAATGTTGCTCAAGTTGAATCATGCATCGGAACAGTTGTAACGGTATCAATATCTTCTGTTTTATTTGCGTAATTAATCGTGTTATTTGATTTGGGAAATTTGAAATATTGTTTTGTTTTTTAGATAAATAGCTTAGCACTATGTTTTCCTAGGTTTGACATATCATCGCGAAGAGTGACACAATAGATTGTTTCCAATAATTTATCAATGACCTGTTAATATTTTATTATATAGTTATTTTCTTAAGCATTCAACTGCTGTAATTATGTTTTAAAACTAAAGAAAATAATATCAGAAAATAATCCACTCGACTCAGGTTTCAGAGGCTTAAAAAATAATAATATAATAATTTACTACAGCCATTTCTTCTTTACAATGTTTAATACTTGTTAAGGTATTTTGTTTGACATTGTGCGTTACCTACAATGTGAAGAGATGGCGCTAGATGGAATTTTTCTAGTCATACTTTCTTAAGTAATCCATAATATTATTAACCCCAACTACTGGGGCATAGGTCTAGCCTGTGGATAGAATAATGGCTCTGTGTGGATTGGTGGCTGCTAACGGTTGCAGAAGCAGCTAGGACAAACAGCTGAACATGCTTTCTGAAGAACGAAAAAAAGCTCGAGATAATATTGACCATACAACCTGTGGGCGGCCATTACAAGAGTTACTTAGCGTCCAGGAACACCGTTTCTAATTATTTTTCTATGGTAATCATATTAACTTACGCCTTTTATGCTTGCAATATATTTGAACCGTGTGAATTATCTATTATTCTAAAAACAATATCATATTTCAAACTTTTGCCGTTATTTGGGATATCGAACAGTTTTTTTTAGTAAAATGTTAAGAAAAATTGTTGGCGATTATAAGTTAAAATATCATTCTTTCTACCAGTATTTATAATACTGAAACGCTATTATTAGTATCAATGGTGACACATCAATTATTCAAGGGTGACATTCGCAACTTGTAAAAGAAACTTATGTGACATCTCCTTTTAATTAATTTTATTGTAATTTGATTTTAATTGTGTTATTATTTCTATAAATTAATTTTATCTTTAATTTATTGTAACTTATTAATTTAATTAATTAATTTCGATTCATATTTTTTTATATATATATATGTGGACTTTATTCGATTATAACTCTTCTTATAATGCATTAATTTTAACGGGGACATTGTTGATTGAATGTATTTTTTTTTATCTTAGAAAGCTTTTAAAGAATTTTTCATTGACAGTTTACCAGCATTTGTTGCTTCGATTCCATAACGCATGTGGTCTTCACATATAATTCTTATAACATTAAGCTTAAGCATTTTATCATTAGCTGCTTGATTGTTGTGTCAATGTTTATTATGTTGGTGATAAAATAAATAAATAAGTAATTATAATAATAATCACCATTGTCCAATGACATAACAGAAGTTAAATGTTACAAATTGAGATAATAGATTATGGCGGGTTGACACCTGCCCCTCTAGCATGACCAGCGAAACGGGATATGATAAAGCGATATATCGGCATTAACTGTCAGACTACTGTCAAACTCCACTGTATTCTGACAGTTAATGCCGATATATCGCTTTATCGCTATATCCCGATTCGGTGGTCATGCTGAGGGGCTGAACTACAAAAAATCCTGTTTCTCAGGTTATCAAATGTTTGTGTTTTCATTAATAGAGTCATAGCGTCAACATCATCGGTGTTATTATAGTGATTTTACAATGGTGTCGACGATTTTCATTTTAAACAATAGTTGTTTGATTCTATAAATCATGAATGAACCCGTACGTCGCTTTTATTGGGACTTCCTGAAGAGGAGGTGAAGACCTTGATATTAAGATCTCTCTGTACACATTCGCTAATTGCTCTATTTGTGGTATATACCAAGCGTAACAACAGTCAGGAATATTATTATTAAGTTAATTTAAACGCAATACAATTGCAGCTTGAGGCTTTGTTATTACTAGACTCAATAGAAACAAACAAAAAGTTTTAAGCAAAAATCTTTGATTGTTGTTTATATAGGCATAGTATTTTTAATTTGATCGTGAATATTCAATATTGCTTACATAAAGAAATAATTTTGACAAACTCTGTGGACGAGTGGCTTGCACGGCCCCCAGCTTTGATAATATCGCATTTGATTTTCATCTTTGTGGCTCTAATTAGATTCCCGGTCGGATCAATGATAAACAACTGATGGAGACTTTGAGTATTTATGGTAGGTACCTTTTGATATCAGATTTCCATAACACAAGTTATTCAGTTTTTCTTTGTATTCAGAGCAACATTTAATGTTATTAAATATTTTAAAAATATTGATGACAAATGGGTAACTTGTTATAATATATTATTTATGAAAATCAGACAATGGCATAAAGTATTTCGAATTAATAAGTATTAATAAATTGATAATATGAGAACACTTACCATCATCAACAAGTCCAGCTGCTTCGTCTCTGGCATTCTGTTCCAAAGACTTCAAAATTTCCTCGGGAATCGGCGGTGGCGTGGGTAAATGGTCACCTTTAGGCTGGTACCCACCCTCGTCAGCGGTATATGTCACACTGTATACTTGGCCATCATCACCAGTGTAGGAAAAGCCTCCCTGAGCTTGCACACCATCAGCAGCTACGCCATTCTCCTCAGCTGATATACCATTATCAGTTTCAAATGCAAAATGATAGTTGTCAGTGCCAACTTCGTTTTCAAAGCGAAGAGTGTTAGCGGCACGGTCGTAGGAAGCCTGAGCTCTCTCCGGTTTGGCTTCGAAAGCTTGAGGATTAGAGAAACCCTGAGGTACTCCAGATACTCTGGTGTTAGCCGCTTGAACATCCGAGTCTAAGTTTCCTACGTCAGCAGCAGAGGGTAACCTGAATGCGGCATTTCCTCTGAACGCAGCATCACCCACTTTGGAATTCGTTGAGCCATATGATATTCTGGGCGCTCCTAAGCCTGTTTCTCCTTCAGTGGCTCGGGTTCCGGCCGCTGCAGCCTCCACTACTACTCCTTGAAATTCATTCGTGAAACTGCCTTTGGGAAATCCACCGTTGCCTTGATGAAGAGAGTTCCCAGCGAATGGTGTCTGTAGGGACCCTGCGGAACCTCCGGCAGTTTTCGCTGATGGAGGTGGGAGGTAAGTGCGGTCTAACTTTGCAGCACCGCAGACCGCTACAAAAGCGGTTATCAACATCTGAAAAAGAAGAAGATTCAATTGCTAAATGATAATTTAAACTATTTGATTTCTGCATGGCGATTTCTATCTGAATAAACTATTAGTTTAATAAGTTTCCTATGTGGAAACATAATTAACTATTAGTCGTTATGCTTAAAACAATTTTATGGAAGTTCAAAAGGCGTGTGTCGATAAAAATAAACATAAGCGGCTTTAACAGATTTAAAAGTGATTGAGGTGTAAAAGTTGTTTACATTTAAAGTAACCGCCTAAACGATCATTTTACGGAGGGAGTGTCATTGACTTTTGAAACATAGGAAATGGTATTAACTGCAATTACTGGATTGTATGCAAATGAATTGACTTATAATATTGCATAACATCTTTTGAACTAATTATGGACCGTGTGACAATAATGATGAATTTTATCCCTATTTTACTACCGTATCTATAGGTAGAAAGTACAAGCCATATTCAGTTGATATTCGTAATTACAATGTTGGTAAACAAAAGTAATTAATTTTAATTATACTGGCACTGACTTTAAAATTAATTTAATTCATTCACTTTTTGATAACGTGAAAAGTCACTGAATTTACTTCACTTTGTTAATTTATTGTCAACTGATCACTTAAAACGGTTCAGTTGCATAATCGCTCCTATTGTTGACCTACTCGTATCTATAGGGTTCACATAATCACTCACTTCCATTCAGACAACTAAAAGGCTATTACCAATTTCATATTGATGTGCCTCTAATCCTGCGCCTTCGGGATGATGTTACAATGATGGCTCAACACAAACTGATGCTCCATCGAAAGATTCATTTCCTTTTTATACCTTTAGAAAACTCGTCCAAAAAACGTGCCCGTGCGATCACGACAAAATTAAACTTGCAGCTGGCACATACGTGGTTGGAGACACATGACCTTTAACACTTCACTTTAGAGTTAAAAATGCCCTATCTCGTTGCGTGAGCGACGGCAAAGGTTACATTGGCACGATGCACATAGTTCCAAGTTCAAGTGGTAGATCGAAGCTTAATTGGGGGACTATATTTTTGGTCGTAACATAGAAATATTGATATGATCACTAGCAGTAATTAGCAGATCGGTAGGGCACGATCATATAATTTGCTCATCACACATCAATTAAGTGTTGGACTTCCGATGGTGTTGAGGATTATTTACATAGAAATACGTGCAGGTGAAATTATAAACAAGGACGATTTATAACTATGTTGATTGCTTTCGATTCGTTGTTAAATGTCGTCGACATTTTTGCAAGGACTAACTTGTATCGTTTATAAAAGGTGGATAGGCATAATATAGGAAATCCTCTTTTTGACGTCTCAAGTTATTGTTTTTGCTTAACTTAGCACTAAGTAGGTACGTCATTTTATAAAGTTACAAAGTGACCCAGCTAACTTTGTACCGCCATAAAAACAGGCGTTGGTAGTAGAAGGTTGTGGAGCGCGATGGCGCTAGCGGTTAGCGCGTTCGGCTGCGGTGGTTGAAGTTGAGCAACTGTCGCAGTGGTCGGTCATTGGATGGGTGACCAAAAATTTACTATCTCGAGCTCCTCCGTGCTTCGGAAGGCACGTTAAGCCGTTGGTCCAGGCTGCATCTGCAGTCATTAGCACCTGCCAGCCCGCACTGGGCCCGCGTGGTGGGTCAAGGCCCAATCTCCCTAACCCATCCATAGGAAAGGCCTGTGCCTTCGCAGTGGGGGCATTAATAGGCTGATGATGAGTAGAAGGTTGAAAATTTAGGATTGTGACAGTTTTGTAATGCGAAATCATCAAAAAAAATGCCATTGGGGTGGACCACCCTTACCACTTAGTGGTATAAATAAAATAGTTGATGTCATATTTTCAGACCTACTCGTACTTAAAGTACACACAATATTTCTTAAGAATCGGTCAAACATTTCGAAGGAGTTTTGATACAAACATTGTGACAGAAGAGTTTCATATATGAGAAGAGATTACTTAGGCGACTACCTAAAAAAAGTTTTGTAATTACGTTAGTATATAAAATAAATCATCCTTTATCATTATCATCATCAGCCTATTAATGTCCCCACTGCTGGGGCACAGGCCTTCCCTATGGATGGAATAGGGAGACTAGGCCATGACCCACCACGCAGGCCCAGTGCGGATTGGTGGGTGGTTAACACCCACCTTCCGAAGCACGGAGGAGCTCGAGATAGTAAATTTCTGGTCACCCATCCAATGACCGACCACTGCGAAAGTTGCTTAACTTCAACTACCGCAGCCGAACGCGCTAACCACTTGCGCCATCGAGCTCCTCTATCCTCCTCTGCATTCTTTATACATAAAGTTAAATTAAAGAAGATTGCAATCGAATCTTTTGTTTTATTGATGATTCTTTTTAAGAGATGTATGGTATAGTGGATTTTCCTCTCGAATTTGAACGCCCGTCTGGGGAAATAATCTCCACCTTACAGTAGACCACAGTAAAATAACACAAACTTTTGGTGGTGTTTTGTTTCAGTCGGTGAAGAAGGTTCCAGGATCCACGGGGTAGGGGAGCGCTCTACGAGGTAGACGATTGGATCAGGGTAGGCAAGGGTCCAGGCGTAACAAGCGGCGACTCATAACTGTTACAAATCGTTAGATCGGGGAGTTGCTTTACCTGGTAGGTACGGGAGCTGGTCGGCTGGCTAGCCGCTCGGGCTGGGGTCCGTGAGACTAGTCAGGCGACGCTGTGAACGAAGAAGCCCAGGATCGGCTAAAGCGGGTGCGGACCGGGCTTCTGGTCGGAGGCGGGGTGGTTTGACGTTTGCCACGCTTGCGCGAGTGTATGTCAAAGTATACCCGCACCGACTAGCGGCCCTCAGGCGGCTCGCCGCTTGCCGAATGCACCACGCAATTACCGGCGTCGCGAGGGTTTGTTAACAGCAGACCAACGGGGCGTTGGTCATTGTCGTGGATATAATACATTTTTTCTCCCCGTTATCGACAAAAAAAAAAAGTGTAGGCAAGGGTGTGAGTGATGTTTTAGGTGTCGCAAGCGTCTATAGGTTATGGTGGCCGCTTACCATCAGGCGAGCCATACGCTTGTTTCCCACCCTTTTGTGTTATACGTCAAACATTTACATACCCAAATATATACACACACACACGCATATAAATACACACACACACACACACACATACATACACACACACAGAGAGAGAGAGAGAGAGGGATTTATTAATTAGTGGCAATATTCTCTCACGATTTGAATAAAATTCTGTATTTAGATTTGTCTGCATCATCATCATCAGCCTATTAATGTCCTCACTGCTGGGGCACAGGCCTTCTCTATGGATGGAATAATGAGATTGGATCATAACCCACCACGTGGGCCTAGTGCGGATTGGCGGGTGCTACCGACTACAGATGCAGCCGGGGCCAACGGCATAACGTGCCTTCCGAAGCACGGAGGAACTCGAGATAGAAGATTTTTGGTCACCCATCCAATGACCGACCATAGTGAAAGTTGCTTAACTTCAACAAACGCAGCCGAACGCGCTAACCACTTGCGCCATCGAGCTTTACAAAGCATAACAATTGTCAGCAATATTATTATTAAGTTAATTTAAACGCAATAAAATTGCAACTTGAGGCTTTGTTATTACTAGACGCAATTATAGAAACAAAATGTTTTTAAGCAAAACTCTTTAATTGTGGTTTATATAGCATAGTCTTTTTAATTTGATCGTAAATATTCAATATTACCTATATTGTAATAATAAATTAATAAAGTTATCTTTTTTTCCCCTCCAATAAACTATATAATACATTTTTTTTAACTCATTACCCGTTAAAGGTATCTTATGCCTTACGGCGTATTATCACCAACTTATTTACTGTATTGCAATAAAGTCTAAAAGAAATCCCATTTATCTTACAAAATCACAAAATGTAGTTGTATTTCTTGTAACAAAATATACTAAAAGATCAGTTGTCGAGGTACTTACATTACAACCTATGAAGGTTGTGAAAAATGGTCTAGTGCGAGTCGGACTTGGAAACGGAGGGTTCCGTGCTATAGAACAATATTTAAAACAGGATCAAACAATATAAGTCGATAAAAACACGTTTCATGTTTTTTTTTATTTTTTAAACATTATCTATACTATAAGGTAAATTTATTATTTCTATGGAACAATGAACCTTAAACTAAAAATCAAATCAAATCAAATCATCTTTATTGTGAATACAGGTTGCAAAGTTGTTACATAGATACATTTTAATACATTACAGCCATATTCTGCCTTATCGGCATGCAATATAATATTTCTATAAAAAAATAATGGTTGCCTGTAAAGTCGGTTTTACGGGCGAAGATTTTACGTGACAACGTCTTTTTCTCGGTAGAATATTTATTGATATGAATATAATTAAATTGCACAATAGGAACAAGGAATTGAATGAAAATAAGAATTGCACAAATTTTAACTATAGAAATATATTTTGTTTACTAAAACATTGTACATGTAAACTTAAACTTAACACGAGAGACTCATCGTAACGTTACCGAGCGTTACACTTTTTCATAAGTGACTCCCAGCCGCAACCTAATTTAAGACGTTGTCACGTCAATATATTACTAAAAGGAGTCCCTTTAAGCAAGGTTCCGAAGATACTGACAGCGTTCCCCCTTTGGATAGCTAGACTAATTCGTTGTCCGAGGTAGCTGCCAGCTCTTCGGTCTCCAGTGATGTCGACTAACCTTTTTGATATTTCCTTAAAAAACCTCATAGCGCTAGGACCCCACGGACCAAGGGTTTTTTTTATATTTTTTTATAGATATGTCCGATAAAAACTCCACCCCACCTGATATTAAGTTACGGTGAAGTCCAGATGCGAAGATAGCTGATACAGCAGTTCTATCTGCCACATGCCCATGTATTACAATCCCTTATAATTTCAAGCTTTAATTTATTTTTACAGTAACACGGATTCTATAAAAAAAATGGTTTGGTTTTATAAAACCACGATGTAAACAAAACTTTTAAAATTATTAATAATATAATAAATATGTCTTCGACTGTGAATCGAACCCGGACCGCCTGAGCAGTGTTGCCAGGTCTCCAGATTTTACAGGAGATCTCCTGTTTTTCTGAAATTCCTCCTGTTGTACTGCTTTTCTACATGAATCTCCTATTTTTCTTAGAATACGATTTTCTGAAATTGCATGTTGAGTTGTATTTTCCGCCATTAAAAATGTAGGTAACCTTAATAATAATGAAATAAATGTTATAGTCCACAAAAAAAAATAGCTTAAAGGGGCGTCAGAAGCCACAGAAACACATTCGTTAGTGGTCTTCATCTTGATTTGATTTACCAATTCTAAGGGGGGGGGGGGGGGAGAAAAAATCGGAAAAAGTACGCCTCTGCATCTACAGTGTTTCTATGTAGCTCTTTTCATATCTACTGTTTTTGTTCTATAACGCCACCCGATTTTAAAAAATCGGACCTGTCTACACCTGAGTACCAGGTGAGCATTCTACCACTAAACCACCGATGCTGGTTGATAAGTTCAGATTTTTAATAGCATATTTGTTACTTAGGTTTTGACTTCATTAATAAATAAATCAGTGCATTAATACCGTTAAAGTCAGTTTTATTTTTAATAGCTATTAGAAATAAATAAATAAATATTTGCAACACTCACATCAATTAGCCTAGCCCCAAAGTAAGCACTGTAAGGCTTGACTCCCCACGTGGGGAGACGCCATCAGCCTGGAATACCTCTAGAGGCACTCGCCAATTCTCGGCTTCAGG